TCACGGAGCACAAGTGTTGCTGTTGATATTGATTCCGCTGGTCTGTCGCACGCTTCGTCGACACAAAAGTTTCATCAAGACTCGTTACACGAATTGCAAGCCGTATGGACATTTCATTGCGCGTGTTACCTACCCAGTCCACCGGTTCACGCCATTTTGCGACAACAGTAAGCAGCGGCTCATTACCAGAAAAGTGGTCCCACATCCATTTCAGTTCAGTTCGCGCACGGCAGTTGTGAAACCCCGAGGGAGAGAATTTATTCGGACAGAATGCCACCAAAGCAATGCAGCTTCTTTAGTGGTCAGGGTAGTCTCTCTTCTGTGAGTTTTGTTATATTGTCACAGGTGCTTGCTCCAGTCCTATGTTCTATCAATATTTACTATTCTGGAAAGTTCCAGGCCATGCTCAGCTGTCATCTTATGTTCTGGTGGAGGTGTTGCGCACTTTACCCTTAGCCCTTGACTCTGTGTGGACTCTGGCGGCTCCTCAGCCGAGTTGCCCGATAACAAGACACGGGTGGCGGATTATACTGTGCCCTAAACCCCCGGCGAGCCGTGAACCAGGTTCTATCCCGAGCCCAGCAGAAAAACCGCAAGACGAGTGAGTACCACAAGGACGAACCTCGGAAATACACCCCGAAGAACCTGAAATCCGAGCCAGTCGCTGCTACCAGCAAGAACCACCGGAATTCGGATTTTTGCCAGAAAAACCTAAGCTGACTAAGCCAACAATGACAAACCCTGCAGCAGCAAACCACGTCCGCTCCCACCATGGTTTGCATGGGCGTCGCACCTCGCACTCTGATGCCCTTTCATGCAAGGTGTATGAAGACGTTGAGCGCTGGATTGAACAATATGACCGTGTCGCCCGCCACAGTGGGTAGACGGACAACCAGCTCCTGCAGAACCTATACTTCTCGTGGTAAAAACTGCCAGGCACTTGTTTGAGAACCACGAATCCTCTTTAACGTCGTGGGAAGTTTGCAAGATCGAGCTGAAGTGCACGTTCATCAGCCAACATTTGCAAGAGAGAGCCGAATTCCTGATTCTGTCCAGGACACGGCCCCAACGAGAGCGTCACCGCCTTCTTGGAGGATGTTTTGCGCCTGATCGAGCACCCACGCGAACCCTGATGCTACAGAAGACAAGAAGCTAAGAATCCCATGTCCCTCATGTGAGAGACAACACCTTCGGCAGCCTTGTCCGCAACCCCACGACAACAGTCGAAGGGTTCATATCACCGAGGCTTCCAATGTTGAATGTACACTGCAGGCCCGAGCCTGTCAATATCAACAACTCCCCAGCGTCTCGACAGTCGAGTAGTCCAGCTGTAATTTCGAGTGCAGACTCCCAGGCATACGCGATATCATCCACAACGTTTTCCGGGAGGAGATCAGGAAGCTGCTTCCTTCCATCAGTTGCCCGGCTTTTATTTTGATTGCCGAGATTGTTTCGGAACGAATTCGACAGGCATTTCAACTAAAGGCTTCTTTAAGCGAAGTGGGATCTGACGAACCGAGGGCGACTTATGCCACAAAGTCACGACGACCGCCACCGGCTACCCGTTACTATTCAATGCCAATTCAACAAGACACCCCAAAACCGAAGCATTCCCGACATTGGAAAGAACCAGTGTAGGTCCCCGCTGAACAAAGTACACCGAGGAAAATGGAGGTGCTGCGAAGGGTCAACTGAAAACCACTCTGTTACCACTGCACGAGGACGGCCACATCTACTGAATGTGCCCGTACTAATGAATTGGCCTGCAAGGGTTCGTACCGTACAACCCTCGACCACGTCTCGAGGAGCGTCCGCTAAACATTGAGGATTATTTTCGGCGGCCTTTGTCCCTGGTGCCGACCTTACCCCGAAACTCCTGATCCCTTTCATACGGACGGGGTAAGCACGAAAAGCAGGTGAGGGGTAATGCAAGGACAGTTGATTTGGTGTCATTTGTCGTCCAAGGACAATACCTAATAATTTGTTGACACTAATCATCTGTGTCCACGCCACGAAGCACACAATTTCCATCTTTGAGGGAGAATGCCGCTGAGTGACTCGATGAAATAGAACTGTTGGTTGTTCTCAAAAGTAGACTTTAAGCCTCACAATGACACAATACACCCTTTGCAAAACCCCATAAAGCAACTCAACGGTCACCATTTTCTCTCGGCGTAAAGCACACGAATGGGCCTCAGCTCACGTTGAACGCTAATGCAGCATTCGACTCCAATAGGCGCTCAACCGGGTTCACAGTGACGGCGGACATAACATTCTAGTGGAACAAATGCCCAAAGTATGAAGGCCTTGGGTAATTAGAGTAGTAGCTACCATAATTCGTTCCATCACATTTTGGCAAACGGCGAGGGCTACAGTCTCGATGAGTCAATATGCACGTTGGAGAGAGGCACTTGACAACATATCAGAGTGCTCGTCTGCACAGATTTGCCACACACCTTAACTTCATCTCTCTAATTGGCGCGAAGGGGCTGTGGCGGTTGCCCTCTTCCAAGTTACGATGATACAAAGTGTAGGCAGCCTACACTTTTGAAAAAAGTCTGTTGAAGAGTCCGAAAGGATGTGTCAACATTTTTCAAGAAGACTGGTCTTCGGGCTACGGATGAACACAAATATGAATAATTCTGTACAGGTAACTAGAACAAGTAAATAATACGGACTAAATGCAATGCACTCTTGATGAAAAAAGTATTGCTTCAATAAATTCTAAAGAGAAAAATGTGCAATTAATCTATGCGTACACCAAAGCCGATCTTGTAGCAAGTCGAATAGCTTTGAAACAGGTGTCTGCATCGATTTATTCATTCCCACACTCAATAAAACGTCATCCTCGCAGCTGAAAATAAGTGTGCACTTCGCGCTCACAAAAAAGGAAGAAAAGCGATCGAATGTAGAATCGTCGATTAGAACAAAAGGTTAAAATCTCAGGAGCTTACTCGCTTAAAGTTTCGATGGTTATTCGGTGACGCAGGGCTCAAAGAACTTCCCCTAGGCCCTAACGCGACGTATACCTTTCGCTTTGGACGTTCAAACGAAGCTAGAAAAAATGCTAATATTTTATGCAGGAGTTATTGTGAGGTTTATTGAGCACATGAGCAGGCGCAGAGAATGTAAAGAAGCGAAAATATACTTGTTGGGGATGCGTGAAGTTTCCCGAGCACACCAGCAGGCGCGGGGGATTCCTAAAAGCGGGTCTCGCGTGGCTTCGTTATCTGTTGTGTTTCTCCCCGCGCCTGGTCGTCGGCGACTTGTTAATGGGAGTGGGGACGAGAGCGGTAAGGGTCCCCCACACTTCTGAATGTGCGCCCGTTCGTAACCTCGGACAGGGACGGCTCGGGCGGCTGTGCTTCCGACGCGCTGAGTACGTTTTGTGTTGGTATTTGGCTTGCCGTCCCCTTCCCAGATGTGAAGAGCCACTGACCAAGGGTTTCTTGGTGGTGCCTTCGGGAGTCGGGTTCGCGGCCCGGGGGGTCTGACTTTCCCGTCGTTGACGGAGACCGCGGGGCGCCCGACATCTGTGTATGTGCGTGGGTGGGTGTTTTTGTGTGTCTTTTTGGAGTGTTTTTGTTGTTTAGAGTGTTCTCTCGGATTGGCCGCGAGAAGACCTTTTGGGATTGGTCGCTGAGCATGCGGGAGAGTGGAGGAAACTGATATAAGCGACAGAAAAGGGGGCCGAAGGGCTCCTTGGTCCATGGAAAGCGTCTTGTAACTTTCAACTGTTCTGTCTTGTAAATATATTTTTTCTTCTCATCACCAACTCGTGAGTCACCTTTTGAAATCCGCCGTCTCTTCGATCTGACGACCCGCCGCCGCTGCCTTTGAACATCACCACCGACGCAATCCTCACGGAAGAGAAACGAACAAACATCACTGGCGCAGTCGACAGGATTGCGTCGGCGGATCGTTGCGGCGGGTGCAGCTCCACGGATTCGGCGGACAGCGACAACAGGGGCGGAGAAGAAGAGCAGCGAGTTCCCGGAACTCGGCGGCGTCTTCCACGGAGAAGCCAGGACCACCGAGATTCTTCCCGTCGACGTGGCGACGCCGGAACGGCTGCCCAGGACAACGAAGAGTGGGTCCACGGCTCGGACACCATCGCGCTTGACTGTCCTGACTGGCTGCGTGTGTTCCTCAGCGGGAGTCATCGGTCTCTCCAAGGTGACGTGATTCTTTCGACTTGTGCCCGCCATGAATGAGGAAGGAGTGGGTCGACAAATGCCGGCCCTCACGTTGGGTCGGGATGGGACTGGCGATGGGAATGTAGACGAGCGAGGTGAAGCGTCATCTCAGGGTGGAGTGGCCACTAGCTTAGGGATACAAGGAAACGGGGACCAGGGAGACAGCTCGGGTCGTTCGTCGGCCGTCACCGATCAAAGGGGTGTCGAGCAAGAAATGGAACTCATCCGAGCGAAGGAGAAGTTAGTGCGACTCGAGCTGGAGCTAGAGCGGCTACGCGTAGAGAACAGACCCCAAAGTAACGCAAGCGGCGCGGACTTAAGCCTTTGAGAGGAGATGCTGAGTTTTTCGAGGCTTATGAAGGGCGTTCTGACTCAAATGCCTTCGTCGGAACTATTGGTGCCTAGCTGGTTCGACGGTGTTGAAAACGTGTTTCAGACGTATGAGGTGCCCGAGCGTCTGAGGGGATCTCTCATCCGACCCTATTTTACGGAGCGCATGCGGGCGCTAGTGAATAGGCTCCCTGTGGGCGAGGCAAGTGAATACGGCGCGGTTAAGGAGCGCGTCTTACTTGAGCTGAAGATGTTGCCGGCTGAGTACAGGAAACTCTTTCTGAACGCCACCAGAGCGATGAGGGAATCCTGAACTCAGTTCGTGACATGCGTCGAGAGCTGCGTCGAGTATTACGCTCGGAGCCGAGGCGTTGAGTCCCTTGAGGACTTGCTGGCACTAATAGTGTCCGACCGCGTCAGGGACTCCATGCCGGCCGACATGCAAGAGTACGTGACTTTGAACGAGGGCGAAAAATGGCCGAGGCCGCGCTGGCCGACCGCTTTGACGTGGGTCGGCGATGCCAGAGGAAAGGGGGGCACTCATCGGTTCCCAAGGATCGCTCACTGAAAAAGAAAACGTTGACTCCTGCCAAACCAAAATCCGAGGGGACAGGGGGTAGTCCCAAATCGAACCCCCCCAGGGTGAGGTGTTTCAACTGCCAGGCATTGGGTCATTTTTCCCGTAATTGTCCCCAAAAACGCGTGCAAGAGGGAGACCGAGGTGGTAACCCCGTGGTGGGTACGGTCGGGACCGACCTGCAACGGCTCCAAGAAACTATAACGCAGCTAGACGCAACCGCGCCCTCTTTTGAGCAGATTGAGGGACGAGCTGGGATGAGAAGGGTTGATATTTGTTGTGGTACGAAGACCATAAATGTTGTCATCGATTCTGGCGCCGAAATTAGCGTAGTCCGAGAAGGGGTCGTGCCAGAGACAGATGGGTCATCGGGGAAGGTGGTGCTCACGGGTGCGTTCGGAAACAGCGTAAGCGCTGTTTTGAAGCTCGATCCAGTGGCTCTCCCTGCGCACTACGTGGAGTACGCCCCTCGCGAAGTGCCGCTTCTATGCGCTGTCACCGACCGGCTGGTTGCCGGAGTCGACATGCTTCTGACGCCCGACGACTACGAGAGCCTAAGAGCAAACCGCGGGACGACCGAGGCCGGACACGGGTACCAACGGACCGGAGACGCGCTGCATAACGAAGACGACGAGACTTCTCTTTCGAGCGATGTCGCTGCGGCCGTCGGCGCGATAGTCGGTGTTGAAAATGTCGATGGACTGGCTCTCGGACCGCTGTTGCCGCCGTTGTCGTCGCCGCGCTTTCGAAGTAGTCAAATAAGCGACGAGACGTTAAAGAGTTCCTGGGAGCAGGCCGGAAGTTCCACCCACGGAATGTTCGTGAAAGACGGGCTTCTGTTCCACAGGGAGGAGGTAAACGGGAAGCTGGTGAAGCAGCTAGTTCTGTCGCTGGAAAAGAGGCCAAAGGTCCTTGAGATGGGGCATGGCTCCATGCGGGCAGGGCATTTAAGAGAACGGAAAACGAAGGCCCGCGTGATGATGTCCTTCTACTGGCCAGGCATGGCGGGCGATATCAAACGGTACTGTCAGTCATGCGAGGCCTGTCAGCTTAGATCGCCCATTACAGCCGCTGACAGAGTTCCCATCGCTCCCCTCGCGCGTCCCGAGGTGCCGTTCCAGACGGTGTTCATGGACTGCATCGGTCCGCTAGAGCCGCAGTCCGCTCGCGGACACCGATATGCGCTGTGCATCGTTGATGCTTGTACACGATGGCCAGAGGTGGTCTGCCTCAAGTCTCTCACCGCCAAGTCCGCTTGCGACGCCCGGGTAGAGGTATTCTCGCGCATGGGCGTGCCCGAAACCATATGCTCAGACCAAGGCAGCAATTTCACCGCGCAAGTGACGACACTGCTCCTAGAGAAGATGGGCGCGACGCCGCGCTTTTCGGCCCCTGACCATACGCAAAGCAACGGGTTAGTCGAAAGGTGGAACGGCACCTTTAAAAAAATGCTTCACCACGTCATTCACGAGCGCGGGCGGGAATGGGACAAACACGTCCCTTTTCTCCTATGGGCCTATCGAGAGGTGCCGAACGAGACAACGGGAGTGACGCCGTTTGAGCTAATGTATGGCAGGGAACCTGTTGGGCCGCTGGCGATTCTTTCCAAAACCTGGACAGGGGAGTGGACGGCCCCCTGCGGGCTGACGTCGTCGGCAGAAGACTATCTCGTCGCACTGAGGCAGCGGTTCGCCGCCGCGGCGGACGCTGCCCGTGAGCACTCCAGCGCGGCCAAATCCTCGTACGCCGGCTACTGCAATCGGAACGCGAGGCCGAAGGCCTTCCAAGGCGGCGACGTCGTGCTCGTTCTCGGACCCGACTCCACCAATGCTCTCCTGGGGAGGGGGAGGGGCCCGGCGGTCGTTGTTGAGCAGAGGAGGCCATGCAGCTACCTGGTCCAGTTCGGGGACGGCTCGCAGAGGGTTTTACACGCCAGCAAATTGCGACCGTATCACGAACGAGTGTGCACTGTGGGCGTGATTTTTGAGGGAGACGAAGAGTTCGGAGACATTCCTGACGTCCCGTTGGAACCGCGTCCAGCGTCTCAACCTTCAGATCTGGCCGGGGCCTGCGAGCACCTGGGGGGCAGCCAACGTCGACAGTTGGAACACTTGCTCCGGCTTTCCCGGGCGTGTTCAGTTCCGAGATAGGGCGCTGTGAGACCGGGACGCACAAAATCGAGCTAGTGCAGGGTGGGCAGCTCCGGCAGAGCTATCCTTACAAGGTGCCAATGGCCTACCGCGGGGAAGTGGACCGCCAGATCAACGAGTTGTTGGAGACGGGGTTAATCTACCCCGTTGAGTCCAGCTTCTCTCATCCTGTTGTGTGCATAGGGAAGAAAGACGGCGGAATGCGCCTATGTATTGACTACAGGCAGCTGAACGCCGTGACCGTTCCGGACGCTTTCGCCATAACGGATGCGTCCGAGACGCTCCTCCAAGTAGCTCAGGCAAACTTCATCATGACTCTAGACATGTTAAGGGGGTACTGGCAGATCCGTTTGGACGCCGCGTCGGAGAAGTGCACCGCCTTTGTGACCCACGGCGGTCAATATGCGTGGCGGGTGATGCCGTATGGGTTACGAAACTCGGGTTCCACCTTTCAGCGCGTGATGAATCGAGTAATGGCACCCCACCGTCAGTACGCGTGTGCGTATATTGACGACGTCGCCGTCTACTCTGCGTCCTGGAGCGATCACGTCGACCAGCTGACGGCCGTCCTCCACACGCTGGCCGAGGTGGGCTTCACGGCCAATTTGGGGAAGTGCAAATTCGCCCAAGGCGAGTGTCCGATACTTGGGGCATGTGGTTGGCTCTGGCCAGCACTCTCCGGATCCTGATCCGATCGAGGCGATCTCCAAACTCGAACGGCCAACGACGAAGAAGGAGTTGCGCAGCGTGCTGGGCCTGTGCAACCATTACAGAGACTACGTCCCGAGATTTTCCGACGTGGTCTTCCCACTTACTCAGCTCACCAGCAAACGGGTCCCAAACAACATCCCGTGGGGACCGGACGAGCAAGCAGCATTCGATGTTGTAAAGCACAGCCTTGCCCGGGCGCCAGCGCTGTACGCTCCGGATTTGGGGCGCGAGTTTGTCGTAGCGACCGATGCCTCTGACCACGCTGTGGGGGCGTGCCTGTCGCAGTGCGATGACGCGGGTAACGAACACCCCATCGCGTTCTTGTCGAAGAAGTTGACGCCCACCCGGCGGCGCTGGTCAACCATAGAGAGGGAGACGTACGCGGTGGTGTGGGCGCTTGGTCGTTGGGACACCTGGCTCTTTGGGGCCGTGATCAAGATAGTGACGGACCACAATCCGCTAGAGTATTTGACGCGGACCACGCCTCACAGCGCCAAGTTAACTCAATGGGCGCTGGCACTTCAGCGTTATCACGTGACCATTGAGCACAGGAAAGGGTCCAACAACGGCAACGCGGACGCTCTGTCGAGGCTCACGAGGAGCGATTAGTCCGGCGTTCCTCTCGCCCCCACTCAACTGAGTGGTCCACTATTTAGATGTCGTGCCAATTGTCCGTTGCTGTGTGGGCGTGCGTTTATTTTTTTTTTTTTTTGTGTCTTCCACACGCTATTGTACGTTCGCGTGGTGGTTGAATGTATGTGTTGATGTGGCTTACTGTAGCGAGAACCCGTTTAGGGCCGGTTTACGGTGCATGTAGTGTGCGTGCCTCCGATACTTTCGTTTGTTTGCGTTTTATGTACTCTTTGCTCGACATACAAGGACAAAGTGAGTTTCTTGAAAGTGCGGGCTAGTGCTTAGGTGTTTATAATGTCGGTTGCCGTGGCTCGCTTTTCTTTTTGTTGTTGTTCACGTGTGCGTTTCCGCTTTGAGTGACGGGGCCTTAGACATATATATAGAGCCTTGGCGGGCACAGTCAGAATCACCTCCCTGGTGCGCTATTTGTGTGCATGCATTGTGTCCGTGTTTTTTTTTTTCTTTTTTCGTCTTTTTGTTTACAGATGTATATATTGTTTCCGACATTTAGGTCCGAAAAATATACTTGTTGGGGAGGTGTGAGGTTTATTGAGCACATGAGCAAGCGCAGAGAATATAAAGAAGCGAAAATATACTTGTTGGGGATGCGTGAAGTTTCCCGAGCACACCAGCAGGCGCGGGGGATTCCAAAAAGCGGGTCTCGCGTGGCTTCGTTATCTGTTGTGTTTCTCCCCGCGCCTGGTCGTCGGCGACTTGTTAATGGGAGTGGGGACGAGAGCGGGACGGGTCCCCCACACTTCTGAATGTGCGCCCGTTCGTAACCTCGGACAGGGACGGCTCGGGCGGCTGTGCTTCCGACGCGCTGAGTACGTTTTGTGTTGGTATTTGGCTTGCCGTCCCCTTCCCAGATGTGAAGAGCCAATGACCAAGGGTTTCTTGGTGGTGCCTTCGGGAGGCGGGTTCGCGGCCCGGAGGGTCTGACTTTCCCGTCGTTGACGGAGACCGCGGGGCGCCCGACATCTGTGTGTGTGCGTGGGTGGGTGTTTTTGTGCGAGTCTTTTTGGAGTGTTTTTGCTGTTTAGAGTGTTCTCCCGGATTGGCCGCGAGAAGACCTTTAGGGATTGGTCGTTGAGAATGCGGGAGAGTGGAGGAAACTGATATAAGCTACAGAAGAGGGGGCCGAAGGGCTCCTTGGTCCATGGAAAGCGTCTTGTAACTTTCAACTGTTCTGTCTTGTAAATATATTTTTTCTTCTCACCACCAACTCGTGAGTCACGTTTTGAAATCCGCCGTCTCTTCGATCTGATGACCCGCCGCCGCTGCCTTTGAACATCATTACCGACGCAACCTCACGGAAGAGAAACGAACAAACATCACTGTTGTATCGTAAAATTATTAATAAGTACAAAACGTAAAGATCGCAGGAGCTTCCTCGCTAAACGTTGGCTATGATTTTGCAGTTACCTAGGGTTGAAATGAATTCCCCTAGGCCCTACGTCACACGCATACATTTCGCATCGATTCTCAGAGATTCGAACGTTCAAACAAAGCTAAGAGTATGCGAAAATTTCATGCTAAAAGTTCTCAAAGTTCTATCGAGGTTCGAACACATCCGATAATCCGAGCACCGGAATGGTGATACGGCTGAGGCTGTCTCACAGGCGTTAATATCCAGATGATCAAGAGCGATCTTGCGCAAAAAGGGTATAAAGTCTCATTCCTTCATGCGTTCATATTATACCTGCGTCAGCGAGCACGAAAAAGCCCGAAGTCGTCGGAAAGCAGCTGCACATCACGGCTACCGCGCACCGAACAAACTCGCATCCGCCAGCTCTGGGCGCTGCCATCTTACCGATGACGTCATGGCACTTGTGACATCACGTGACGAGTGGACACTTTTCCATACAACGTGGCGGCAACAGGGGGGGGGGGGGTGCCACTTCTGAACTTCTGGTTTATCACTCTAGGCCCCTCTACCTCGTTGCAATCTATTCAAAAATAGGTGCTTATAGCCAATAAAAGCCACTTGAAGCCATTCTCATCCACAAACACTCAACAGCAATAATTCCTATTGTACTGACTAACAGAAATTAGTCGCCAATGAGCCAATCTGGTCAGAAATATATTCTAATAGCCAACAATAGCCACCTGAAGTCATTCCAGTTAATAAACATAAATAGCTCAGTTTTCAGTACTCATCATAAATATTTGCAGCCCCATATATAGCAAATATATATAAAAGTTGAGGCTGATAGCCAATAGTCGACAGTTGAAACCATGTGCATTCACTAACGCCGAAATATATAATTGTCAATTATGTCATCAATAGCCATTGGCAGCCATTTAAAGTCAATATGGTCAAAGAAGATGCTAATAGCCATCAAAAGTTAGTTGAAACCGTTCATAAATCCTGGGTTCAATCCCCGCCCCTGCTCGTTTTGATCTGAATGAGCGGCGTACCGGCGTGCGGTCGTGTATCACTACTGCGTGGTGCACGTTAAAGACCCCAGGTTGTGCCGCACTGGCTAAATTGCTCATCTACAGCTGAGGCACCAGACGCCCACTGAGGCAGACTAACTTCCGGCTGTACAAACATACCCACAACAATTTGCTTTTGCGTTCATAAGTGTAAGCAGAAAAAATCACATAATTATCAATAATAATCACTTCTAGTCACTTAGAGAGATTTCAAAGGGGGCTCATAAAAAATTGATGCCTATTGCCAACTATGGTCACTTGGAGCCAAGGACATCTAATAAGACATGTTTCAGTAGGAATAAAACAAATAAATCAACAAGCTCAGAAAGGGTTACTAATTATTTAGATTGTACAAAATCGCTATACAAACCCTGACTGCTCAATACAACACACTGCATTTTGACATCAAAATACCATAAGGTCCAATATTACCAACTTATGCTCCCTATGCTCCATAAAAAAAGGGAATAATTCATAGACTATCAATTTCTCTAGCGAGTCACACTCACTCGATTAATTTCCGGGGAAAGTGGCGAGTTATCCACTCCATACCGCCAGGATCGCTTTCTACTTCCGTCTTCCATTTTACACCGAAGTTTCCTGTATTAGTCTCTACTGTATTTGGCGCCACGTTGAAAGCCTCTCATACTGCCGTGGGTCTTTCACAACTCTCAATTCTTCTAGTATACTTAGCACACAATATGCATATCATAGTGTAACCTGAGTGTTCAACAATATTCACACAAAAGTAGCGTGCAAACTTCCCAAAACTTTGGGAAGATCCATCAATAAAGATCGCGAGATTATTTTTAAGGTAGTTGAACCTCGACGAATGGATTGTGGGTATCATTTCTGTAGGAATGAACAACGACATTTCCATACTTCTGCGTGCATGCTAAAAATGCATGCGACAAGTCCCTCTACCTCGTTGCCGACGATACAAGATAGTGACGAGAGTGACGCCACTGTTTTCCATAGCGCCACATTTGAAGCCTCTCATACTACCGTGGCTCCTTCACAACACTCACTCATTCTAGCATACTTATAGCAGATAATATGCGTAGCATAGTGTAACCTAAGTGTTCAACATAATTCACACAAAGATTGCGTGCAAACGTCCCAAAACTTCGGACAAAACCCATCAATAAACACCGCGATATAATATTTAAGGTAGTTAAACCTTGACGAAGGGACTGTGGATATCATTTCTGCTGGAA